GTGGTTTAGAGGAAAGCTACAGTGTGTAGAAAACGATGTAAATAAAAACCAGAAAAAAAGACATAAAAGCTTCACTATTTGCGTCATCTATTTGTCCCACCGACAACAAACGCAAAGTACTCCAAACCCCCACACAGCTTTCTCCAACCTCCTGAGACTGAGAGAAAAAAATGAACTGCTCTGATGTAGAAACAAGTTTGAATAACATCCAGACTTATTTATCGATGTGAACATTTCAAGATGATGCACACACAGGCACTTGACAACAATATGCTTGTCCTTACCTCACAGTGCAGACAGACTCTCCCACTCCAGAGCAGAATATGAGGGATGAGAGGAGAGATGGATGAAAGTAGGATGAGAGATGGACGGGAGGAGGAGCTCGAGCAAACAACACAGGTTGTTGTTGGATGCCCCTTTCCCTCACTTGGGGCTTGCACTCTGCTTTAGTAGGTGTCCGGCTGCCCCAGCACAGCTCCCAGTGTGGTGTCAGGTCCCAAAGCACAGTATTGGGTATCTATAGGTCCCACTCAGTCACACGTGGAGCCTTACCCCATACGTGTCCTAGAAGATCTGTGATCGCTATGTGAAAATCAGCGTCTGTGTGTGAAGCTTCTCTCTCTTCTCTACTTTCTCCTCTTCTCCTCTTTTTCTCTAGTTTTTTTCCCTCTCCAATGTCTCTCCTCTTCTCCAGTCCAGTGCAGAGGCAGGCACACGTGTGTAGTATGTTCAGGGTGGTGAGGTCGCGGAGTGGGAGTGGGGGTGGTGGTGAGGGGAGTGTGTGTGCATGGGGGGGGGGGGGGGGGGGGTTGTCAGGGGTAGTGGCGGAGAATGGGGGGGGGGGGTGAATGATGATACAAAACTTGCCCACATTAACCATTTGCTGGAAGATTTGATAAGATCTGTATTGAGTATGAACTAGGAGCTTGACGTCACGTTTTCTTCTGCCATTTGACTTGGTGCTTCTAATTGACTATGATCACAAGAATAATGGGTTAACAAACAGCAGTCATGTCATTGACAAACAACTGTGTCCACACCAGCCAGTGACAGTAGCATGACGCAGCAGAGTGTTGTGAACTGAAAATGTACACAACGTAAGGCAAGCAACATCCAAATCTAAGTTGGGGTGGAGTGGTGTGGTATGTTGTGAGGAGGTATGGGTCAAGTACAGCTCTCAGAGGAGCAAGGAGCACATTGACACACAAAGACACAATGGAGAGCCGCATGTAGGTACTCTTTCTTCCGGTCTTTAATCAATATCATCAGAAAACCAAAGAGGCCGTTTGCAATGTGTGCTAACTCCCTTCTCTTTTCTCTCACCAGGGCTTTTCCCACCCATTCTCTAGCTACTTCAGTAGGACTATTGAGGTCCTCTGAATGGAGCCACTTCACCCAGAGAGAGTATTGTTTGTCCTTAGACAAACATGAGAGCCCTCTGCAATATGGGGGCTTAAAGCAAAACCTCCTGGAAAAAAATAGATGAAAATATTAATGATCAGAGCAGTGGCAAAATCTGTTTCCCCTTTTAGGAAGGACCCCTCACTGCTGCTGGACTCTCTTTCAAAGCTAACAGCTCTCCCCTCTCTCTCCCTCCCTGGCCCACTTTAGAATCCCTCTGAAGTTTTAAAAGTTGACAATCTGGCAGAGCACGATATGGATGATGCGTTTGAAGGCAAGATTCTGATTAACCTTTTGGGGTTCTGGCCTATATACAACTGACTGTCCGTATATTTAAATTATTTCAGTGCTGCTGTTTAGTGCAGGAAACGGATCAGCGTATCTGATGGAGCCAAAGTAATGTCTGAAGAATATTCTTGTCCCATTATTCACCTCTCTCCCGTTGTATGCGTAAGGTAACTCAGCCTGAATACTAGCATATGACAGGTATATCAGGACAGACACCCACAAAACGCACACTCTCTTTCCGTCTGTCGTTTTTCTCTCTCTCTCTGCTGGGGTCTGCACCATCAGAGCTGGCCTGAATATTTATTTTGATCCCACAGCTTTCCCTCTTTTGTGTTGCCTTTAATAACTTATCGACAAACAGTCACTGGACTAACTCCATCCACTGAAAGCAACAAAAACCAAGAGAGAACATTTCATTTAAATAATTGCATGACAGAAACCACAAAATTGCTGGTATCATATTATTAGTTGTGTCTACGGGGGGCTTTAAGTCGGGCATCGTGCACAACAGGAGGGCCGGCTTTCGGCAATGATCTTTGTTTAAAGTGTCGGGCATGCGTAGTTGAAATAAAAGCGCGGAACAGATCATGTAAAGTGTTAGATGGTGGTGTGTCCTGACCTTATGCAGAACTTCTTCTTTACTCAATATTCTTTTTTTTCTCTTTCATAGCACAATGCATTCTTCTGATAATTATTTCTAGAATCCCTTCTTCCTAAGGAACCTATCGAACGAACTTCCCCCCTCCCATGTCTACCGCACAAGCAAACGACAAGAATCCGCACTGAAAGAATTACCGATTAAGATCCCCCCCTCCCAGACACAGTAGAATTCCCCTCCCATAGACGACGAAAGAAAGAAAAAAGAAAAAGCCCAGACAGAGATTTTCCAATGAATTCCACCCAGATCCCAAGAAAGACCTAGCGCAAATTAAGCAAACTAGCACCCCACACCGCAACCCCGTCCTCAAGACCTCAAGACACCCTGTAAAGAATCACGAAAGACAAGAAAGTCAGACCATTCTAGAAAGATAATTTAGAATTTTAAAGAAACCCCCCCCAATCCCCCCAGACTTTCAAAGAAGATTCAAGAAGACAAGAACCCCAGACCAAGAAAGACGGGGATAAGATTTCATAGAAAGCAAAGAAGTATCAGAACTGGTCTAAGAATAGAACGGAACAAGAAACGCAAAGAACTAGACAAGAATCAGAAACGAAAAAGAAAGAAAAGGAAGGAATATTTAGGAAACCGAAAGACAGAGAAAGAGAAAGAAAGAAGAAAAGAAAAAAAAATAAAAAAAAAAAGAAAAGAACAGAAGAAAAGAACGAGAAAAAAAAGAAAGAAAAGTAAAGAAAGAAAGCAAGAAAAGAAAAAGGAGAAAGCAAAGACAAGAAAGAAAAGAATAACAAAAAGATCATAAGAAAGAAAGAACAGAGAAAGAAGAAAGAAGAAAGAGAAAAGAAACTCTCTCCGCCCGAAAATAGAAAGAAAGAACAGAAATAAGAAAGAAAGAAGAAAGAAGAAAGAAAGATAAGATAGAAAAGAAAAAAGAAGATAGAGAAGAAAGAAAGAAAGAAAGAACAGAAAGAAAGGAAAAGAGAAAAGATAGAGAGAGAAAGAAAGAAAGAAAGAAAGAAAGAAAGAAAGAAAGAAAGAAAGAAAGAAAGAAAGAAAGAAAGAAAGAAAGAAAGAAAGAAAGAAAGAAAGAAAGAAAGAAAGAAAGAAAGAGAGAGGGCGCTAGCTGACAACGGGCTAACAGGAATCTTTATTTTTAACAACATATCATCACCAGCCACCCATCTGCTCCTGAGCTGACAGAGTCCCTTGAGAGAGAGAGAGAGAGAGAGAGAGGGAGGGAGGCAAAGAAATAGATAGAGAGAGTGAGAGTGAGTGAGAGAGAGAGAGAGAGAGAGAGAGAGAGAGAGAGAGAGAGAGAGAGAGAGAGAGAGAGACAACAGAAAGAGAAGAGAAAGATTGCAGGTGAGTGTGAGTAAATAGGGAGGGAGGGAGAGAGGGACAACAGGTCCGATGGGATGGGGGGCCTGTGGATCAGTATTAGCCTCCCCTGGGTGTGTGAGGGTAGATTTGAAGGTGGGGCAGGTTGTCCTGAAGTAATTAGTGGGAATGTATCAACCCAGGGGGATGAAGACACAAAGAGGGAGGGGAGGCTGGGACCTCCAGGGGTGGCACCAACCATTCATTTCATTTTCACAGATAAAGGAGCAAGTCCCCTGGGATGCGGGAGCAATTGAAGGGGGGACTTTGTATTCAGAGCTCCTTTCCCCTCGCCGTGGTGACTGCGTTAACAGCTTGATTTGCAGGTCACTCATTAGCAAATACAGCCTGGCTGAATTGGCTCTGGCTGATCTCCGATCACGTTCCTATATCTCTTCATTTACAGCTGCCCTCGCTGTCTGTTTTTTCCTCTCTTCTTTTTTTTTATTACTCTGATATGTTTTACATCCTCCAGTAATCTCATCTTCATCAAAAGTGATGAGAGAGAATCTGAGACGTCAGGAAAAAATCTTGTTTTGATTCTTTGGACACATTGCAACTCTCATTCCTCATTTGCCCCATGTCTGGGAAGCGTCTGTATCTTATGTTGAATATTGAAATATCTCTCTCTCTCTCTTCCCATCCTCCCGGCGAAGAAAAATGTGAGGGCTAATTAGTCCAGAGACACCAATGGAACGGAAGAACCCACCCCGGGCCACGTACATCCCCTATTGATCTTTGAGAGCACACACACGCACGCACACAAAGACACACACGCGCACACACGGACTAAACAAAAACTAGAGCTATGGAAAAGCTGAGGCAACAGCTGAAATACCTCAATATGATAGAATGTACTGGAATGTATAATCCTGTTAAGGGCTAATGATTTTGATCTTTGACATTACAAGAAGTGATTATTTCTTAATTTCCTGCTTCCTGTTGACAAATATCATACGCTATGGCTAATATTCCCACAACATCAAACGACATACTTTATTTTTCTCCTAACTTTACTTCTTTCCGATTATTCCATCCCCCTCTAATTCAAATTTCTGATCCCTCCCCCCATTATCCCTCGTTCCCTTCCCTGGTCACGGCTTCTTACACTAAGCTTCCTCGCCTTCCATCATCTATTTTCCATCTCTTCCCTCCATCATCCCTCCATTACAGTATCCCACTGTCTCTGTGAGTCTTTCTCCATCTCTCTTTCCCACAGTAATTGGATGCTTGATCCATGCGACACGTCCTCTTGGTTCTTAATGAGCCCCTCTCTCCTCAGGCCATCCCCATAGAGACACTAATAGGGCAGCCAGGTCTCATAGACATTTATTACAGGCCATTTCTCCACACAGATGAATGTACAGTGGACGTCACAAAACAGATGATGTCATAAATCAAAAACAAACACAGTAATGAGTGTGACAGTTAGGGGGAGTATGATGCTGGCAGTGGATAAAAGGTGGATAATCTTTGATGCTGATTATTGTAGATAGCAGTGATAAACAGATGTACATGTAGACAACCGAGAGGAGATGTGTTCATGTCCAGGTCAAAGGTGGTTGTCGGTCTTCATGGGACACAGCTTACCGGATCCCATTTTCATAGCTGTCAGAGAGAGAAAGAAACATGCTGTAATCAAATAATTTGCTGTAATCAAATTTTGTTAAATTAAAGACGAAACACATGACACACTATGATCTACAGGTAATGTAGCATAATTTTGGATAGTGAGGGTAAGGGATTGCACCCACACATAAAGCTGTAGAACCAGCTCTCTGAGCGATCCACCAGACAGGAGATCCATTCATGCAGGGTCACCTTACTGTTCTTGTTACGGTCACATGACCTGTATACAGAGAATATACATACACATTACCTCATAAACAAACATATAGGCCTGCTGTTGCAAATACACACACACACAGTCACACACACAAACATGAAGGGCAAATCAAACACACAAACACAAAGGACACATGCAAACAAACACATCTGCATAGAATATGCACAATATGACTGACATTTGTCTTCACCCACAAAGAAACATTATCTTTGAAGGGTACCGTTTCCATTTGTGCTAATCAACACACAGCGGGAAGCTCAGTGGGTAATAAACATTATCATTGCTGGGAATGGGTTGACATTGAGCCGGCCAGCCCTACTCCCACAAAACCTGTCACTGCAGACTGGGAACACACCAGCTTTACGACTGAGGCGGGAGAGAGGGAGGGGGAGAGATAGAGAGAGGGAGAGAGAGAAAGAGATAGAATAGACATAGTAGGGAGGAAAGAGAGCGATTAGGACATGGGTTATGAAGGAGGGAGTGATAGAGGGATGGGTGAGATAGAGAGGAAAGTGATGATGGGGGAGGGGGGTTGGCTGGTTAGAAGAGGGAGAGAGGGGCTCAGAGGAAGGCTGCTGAGGATGGGGTGCAAAGAGAACATGAGGATGGGAGGTGCAACATTTTAACCCTCTACATTCAGGAAATCATTTGACATTCCATTTACAAATAGGTAATTGCCCCAAATTTCACATTTTTCCATAACATTCTCATTGCATCAGTTTAATTTATATGTATTTTCTTTATTGATTGAGATGAAATTATATTGATAGTTGGCAACTGATAAAGACAGTGATGAACATAGTGGGGATTTGTATCTGTCATAATTTGTATGTGGTGCATAGAGGATAAGGTAAATGTGAAGTCTACTGTGTATTCAGAGTGGGGCTCACTGGAAGAAGAAGGTAGCACATTGCTCCAGAGGCATCCTCTTGTAGCGCAACTTCCTCAGGTCCCTCCGGCTCAGCTTCCCGTCCTTGTTCTTGTCCAGCAGGGCAAACCTCCGCTACACGTTTCAGGAGAGGAAAGAGAGGAGACATCTCAGCAGAAGAATATTAAATGACAAAAATGTGCCATTCATGCCCAGGCTCTCCTATTAGCCAATACCTACAAGGAGGATGGACAGGGTGGGAGGGAGGAGGAAGGAGGACAAAGATAAGGTTAAGGATGTGGTTAGTTGAATAGATAGAGGTATGGCGAGAGGTCAGGAAGGCAGGGATGGGGATATAATATTACCACCCAGTTAACTTTCTTATTGAATAATTTAGTGATTATTGACTAAGTCTATTTATACTGGGGTTCCTGTAAGCCCCCCCATTCTGAGTTGTGGAAGACCACACAATAAGCTAAACAGGAGCTTGTTAACCTTAAATTAAATCTGCTCTCGGGAACTGTAACAATTTAACACCACAACACAAATAATAGTGCTCTTATGCCAAAGTGCACTTCATGCCCTTCAATTTAGTTCATGATAAGTGTAATCAGGTGTGGAAGAGATTGGCTTCAGCTAAATCTTGCAAACACTACAGCCCTCCAGGACCATTGTTGCCCAGCCCTATTCTTCTGTCTTTTCTGTTACCTGGGCTAGTTGGGTGCGCTGGGCGTGGCTCAGGCAGCTCTGCGGCGGAGCATAGGGGGCATAAGACTCTCCCATACGACTCAGTAGGAGGAACCAGTCCATTAGGCGGTATGGGAACTGGCCATACTCCTCCTCTGTGCAGTTTGACTTGGGAACTTGGAAACATAAGCAAGCATGAAGTGGGAACTGGACTTGAAGAAGGCTTATTATGTAGGTACAGTACTGTGAGTGTGTTTGTGTGTCCTACCCAGACAGGGCCCTATATGAGCCAGTCCAATGCGACGTCTCTTGCGGCAGGCTTCTCTATGCAGCAGACACTCGTTCCCAAAGGTCTTTCCCAGAACACTGCACACTGGTTCCCCCTGCCTGCACACACAAGTCATTACAAGCATATTGAATAAAGCTTATGTATGCTTCTTGGTCAAAACAGTTTGCGCATATATTATGACACATTTTGTGACGTTTATGTTCATTTTGGTGTTCAGCGGGTTTTATTTCGGCTGTTCGAGCACAATAAATTTTTTCTTGAGGCAAGCCGAAGTTCGATAGCCGGAATCTACGCCCCTTCGTCAGAGAATGGTCAACAGTAGGGATTCTTCAATAAAGTGTTTGTTGTCATTCAATGACAGATGACTAGTTTTCATTAAATTATTTTCAGTTGAGAAATACTGCACCAAACACCTTAGTTAGATGTACAATTGCGTGACTAAGACCTGCAAAAATGTCAAAATTAATGACAGATTTCTTGATCTATCTAAGATTGATTGACTATTTTGAGGAAGTGTTGCTGTAGGGGAGAACAGGGACGAAAGTTTTTTCCCCCTAATTACTCAGAGATTGATAGAGCTAGAGACACCATTTTGTTTATGACAAACAATTTATACATCTCCTCCACCATTAGCAACTGTAATTTAATTTCTGGTGTAAATGAGTTTAAATTAAATAGACCGAGAACAGAACTACCGCAACGTTAGTTTTGTACCTGCTGGCAGGGTGGGAGTAAAACAGCCATGGGATGGAAGTAACAGCTACCTCCATGATTCTAATTTGTAATGCTCATTACTTTCAGCAAATGTACAGTGGCTTGCGAAAGTATTCACCCCCCTTGGCATTTTTCCTATTTTGTTGCCTTACAACCTGGAATTAAAATTGATTTTTTGGGGGTTTGTATCATTTGATTTACACAACAAGCCTACCACTTTGAAGAAGCAAAATATTTTTTCTTGGGAAAATAAAAATAAAAATGAAAAAAAAAATAAAGAAAACTTGAGCGTGCATAACTATTCACCCCCCCAAAGTCAATACTTTGTAGAGCCACCTTTTGCAGCCATTACAGCTGCAAGTCTCTTGGTGTATGTCTCTATAAGCTTGGCACATCTAGCCACTGGGATTTTTGCCCATTCTTCAAGGCAAAACTGCTCCAGCTCCTTCAAGATGAATGGGTTCCACTGGTGTACAGCAATCTTGAAGTCATACCACAGATTCTCAATTGGATTGCGGTCTGGGCTTTGACTAGGCCTTTCCAAGACATTTAAATGTTTCCCCTTAAACATTTTAGTCATTTAGCAGACGGTCTTATCCAGAGCGACTTACAGGAGCAATTAGGGTTAAGTGCCTTGCTCAAGGGCACATCGACAGATTTTTCACCTAGTCGGCTCGGGGATTAGAACCAGCGACCTTTCGGTTACTGGCACAACACTCTTAACCACTAAGCTACCTGCCACTCGAGTGTTGCTTTAGCAGTATGCTTAGGGTAATTGTCCTGCTGGAAGGTGAACCTCCGTCCCAGTCTCAAATCTCTGGAAGACTGAAACAGGTTTCCCTCAAGAATTTCCCTGTATTTAGCGCCATCCATCATTCCTTCAATTCTGGCCAGTTTCCCAGTCCCTGCCGATGAAAAAACATCCCCACAGCAGCATGCTGCCACCACCATGCTTCACTGTGGGGATGGTGTTCTCAGGGTGATGAGAGGTGTTGGGTTTGCACCAGACATAGCGTTTTCCTTGATGGCCAAACAGCTCAATTTTAGTCTCATCTGACCAGAGTACCTTCTTCCATATGTTTGGGGAGTCTCCCACATGCCTTTTGGCGAACACGAAACGTGTTTGCTTATTTTTTTCTTTAAGCAATGGCTTTTTTCTGGCCACTCTTCCGTAAAGCCCAGCTCTGTGGAGTGTACGGCTTAAATTGGTCCTATGGACAGATACTCCATTCTCCGCTGTGGAGCTTTGCAGCTCCTTCAGGGTTATCTTTGGACTCTTTGTTGCCTTTCTGATTAATGCCCTCCTTGCCTGGTCATTGAGTTTTGGTGGGCGGCCCTCTCTTGGCTGGTTTGTTGTGGTGCCATATTCTTTCCATTTTTAATAATGGATTTAATGGTGCTCCGTGGGATGTTCAAAGTTTCAGATCTTTTTTTATAACCCAACTCTGATCGGTACTTCTACAAAACTTTGTCCCTGACCTGTTTGGAGAGCTCCTTGGTCTTCATGGTGCCGCTTGCTTGGTGGTGCCCCTTGCTTAGTGGTTTTGCAGAACTCTGGGGCCTTTCAGAGCAGGTGTATATAAATTGAGTGACAGTTCATGTGACACTTAGATTGCACACAGGTGGACTTTATTTAACTAATTATGTGATTTCTGAAGGTAATTGGTTGCACCAGATCTTATTTAGGGGCTTCATAGCAAAGGGGGTGAATACATATGCACGCACCACTTTTCCGTTATTAATTTTTTTCAATTGTTTGAAACAAGTAATTTTTTTCATTTCACTTCACCAATTTGGACTATTTTGTGTATATCCATTACATGAAATCCAAATAAAAATCAATTTAAATTACAGGTTGTATTGCAACAAAATAGGAAAAAAACGCCAAGGGGGATGAATACTTTTGCAAGGCACTGTACTATCAGACATCATTTCATGTCTGTGTTGATTGGAATAGTTAATGCAATGGATTCGTAATTTATGAAAATGAGCCACGAGTCAACATCACAATGTTGTGCAACCACAATATTTTGCCTTACAATATTAATTGGTGTAATGCACCTGTCTTTGAATACAACTGAATTAAGTTTGTGGTGTGGTCCTACCGTGGGCAGGTCTTAGGACACACACACTTTGGGACGAGGACTCCATTGTCCTGCACCACCTGGCACCAGGAGCCCATTGGACTGTGACACTTCAGCAGCTCACACAGTTGGACTGGGACATGGGGCGGGATGGAGGGAGAAATGGAGAAAACAGTGGAAGAAGTGACTGTCACTAGGTTTTAGATATCAACTGAGTTTGTGCATGAATTAAATGTTGGATGTAAACCATCAAGGACAAAGTTAACAACGATGGCAAACTTGTCTCACCTGGGTCCACTCTACCCAGGTATGGTCTCAGACTGTCCTCAGCCTGCCTTTGTCTGCGCTGGGATCTTCCTCCCTGAACAACAAACAGAATTCAGGAGCAGAAAGAGACAGACATCTCTGTTATCAGATTCCAACATCTAAAACGCCTAATGGCGCCGGAGGGGATGGCTGCCGTTTTATGGACTCTTAACCAACCGTGCTATTTTGTGTGTTTTTTTCGCATTGTTTGTAACTTATTTTGTACATAATGTTGCTGGTACTGTCTCTTATGACCGAAAATAGCTTTTAGACATCAGAACAGCTACAGTGGGGGAAAAAAGTATTTAGTCAGCCACCAATTGTGCAAGTTCTCCCACTTAAAAAGATGAGAGAGGCCTGTAATTTTCATCATAGGTACACGTCAACTATGACAGACAAAATTAGAAAAAAAATCCAGAAAATCACATTGTAGGATTTTTAATGAATTTATTTGCAAATTATGGTGGAAAATAAGTATTTGGTCACCTACAAACAAGCAAGATTTCTGGCTCTCACAGACCTGTAACTTCTTCTTTAAGAGGCTCCTCTGTCCTCCACTCGTTACCTGTATTAATGGCACCTGTTTGAACTTGTTATCAGTATAAAAGACACCTGTCCACAACCTCAAACAGTCACACTCCAAACTCCACTATGGCCAAGACCAAAGAGCTGTCAAAGGACACCAGAAACAAAATTGTAGACCTGCACCAGGCTGGGAAGACTGAATCTGCAATAGGTAAGCAGCTTGGTTTGAAGAAATCAACTGTGGGAGCAATTATTAGGAAATGGAAAGACATACAAGACCACTGATAATCTCCCTCGATCTGGGGGCTCCATGCAAGATCTCACCCCGTGGGGTCAAAATGATCACAAGAACGGTGAGCAAAAATCCCAGAACCACACGGGGGGGGGACCTAGTGAATGACCTGCAGAGAGCTGGGACCAAAGTAACAAAGCCTACCATCAGTAACCACACTACGCCGCCAGGGACTCAAATCCTGCATTGCCAGACGTGTCCCCCTGCTTAAGCCAGTACATGTCCAGGCCCGTCTGAAGTTTGCTAGAGTGCATTTGGATTGATCCAGAAGAGGATTGGGAGAATGTCATATGGTCAGATGAAACCAAAATAGAACTTTTGGTTTAAAAACTCAACTCGTCGTGTTTGGAGGACAAGGAATGCTGAGTTGCATCCAAAGTACACCATACCTACTGTGAAGCATGGGGGTGGAAACATCATGCTTTGGGGCTGTTTTTCTGCAAAGGGACCAGGACGACTGATCCGTGTAAAGGAAAGAATGAATGGGGCCATGTATCGTGAGATTTTGAGTGAAAACCTCCTTCCATCAGCAAGGGCATTGAAGATGAAACGTGGCTGGGTCTTTCAGCATGACAATGATCCCAAAACACACCGCCCGGGGCAACGAAGGAGTGGCTTCGTAAGAAGCATTTCAAGGTCCTGGAGTGGCCTAGCCAGTCTCCAGATCTCAACCCCATAGAAAATCTTTGGAGGGAGTTGAAAGTCTGTGTTGCCCAGCGACAGCCCCAAAACATCACTGCTCTAGAGGAGATCTGCATGGAGGAATGGGCCAAAATACCAGCAAACAGTGTGTGAAAAACCTTGTGAAGACTTACAGAAAACGTTTGACCTGTGTCATTGCCAACAAAGGGTATATAACAAAGTATTGAAAAACTTTTGTTATTAACCAAATACTTATTTTCCACCATAATTTGCAAATAAATTCATTAAAAATCCTACAATGTGATTTTCTGGATTTTTTTCCCTCATTTTGTCTGTCATAGTTGACGTGTACATATGATGAAAATTACAGGCCTCTCTCATCTTTTTAAGTGGGAGAACTTGCACAATTGGTGGCTGACTAAATACTTTTTTCCCCCACTGTATTTGAAATATTGCGAAAAGCCAGTTTTGTCTGCATGCTGTTTTTTTCACTGACAGATTTGCCGCCGCGTTCCCGACTGTAGGCTATTCCTTGTTATTGGGCTACAATCCACAGCTAGGCTATTTTTTTAAAAGAAGCTATTGATCCTCTGTGGCTAAATTATAGGCCTTTTCGTGTGTTGTAGTAGGCTATTCTGAAATATTTCATTAATTTCTGAACAGACAGCAGTATTTATATAACTTTGGCAAATGTATTTCAATTATCAGCGGTGCTTCAGTTCCTTCAGAACAATTCGCATGATTCTATAAGGAAATACATGATGAAGTGCAATGCTGGAGAGATGAGAGTTGCAGGCTCATATATATCAGAGCAGAGAGGGAGAGAGCTCATATAAAGTTAATCTCATTCTAGTTATGTGAGAGATACTGCCGTGCTTCTCACACAGCCACCGCCACGCGTTATTCTCAAACATAGGTTACAATGTTGCGCAAACCATAAACCCAGGCCGGCCCAACCCGAATCAACTTTTACAATATTAGGCCCGGGCTGAAAATCTACTTTTTCACATTACGTTTTTTTGTGGGGCCAGGATAATTAACGCAGAGGCAACTCGAATGAACTTTGATCGCTTTTGTAAGCATTTTTACGTTGCAAAAAAGTAAAAATTATTTTTCATGCAATGAGAGGTACCGCATCCGGCCAAATAGGTTCCGGAACAAAACAGTCCAAAACGGAGAGGTGCCAGGATCAGACTCAAATAAGCACTGGCGCTTTCGTGCCCACTTCACAACTGTGTGGGTGTGTGTGGACCATGTTAATTCCTTAGTGATGTGGACACCGAGGAACTTGATGCTCTTGACCCGCTCCACTACAGTCCCATCGATGTTATCAGGACTGCCACTGATAAAAAATTCTTCAAGCCAATCCAGTGTCCGTAAATTCTTTCACTGAATTTATGGAAGCTATGTGGATTGATGACTTGACTGGAGTATATGGAAGCCTGACTGGCACAGAACAGCCCCCACCTGTCACGGTTTCGGCCGAGGCTGCTCCTTTTCCTTGTTCGGGCAGGCTTCGGCGGTCGTCGTCCCCGGAGTACTAGCTGCCACCGTTCGTTGTGTCTGTGTGTGTTTGGTTTTGGTCTGATTTGTACACCTGTTGCTCATTTCGTCTTGATTATGTGTCCTTTAAGTTCTCGTTGTTTCTGTCTTGTGGTTGTGTGTAGTTGTTCTATGTCAGCAGGTGTTGCCAGTCAGTTTGTGCTCTATGTATTAGAGAGTCCGCACGTTGTGCGTTTTGTTGTACTTTTACGCTGAGTGCGTTTATTTTTCCCTTGTTCAACCGGCTCTGTTTATAGCCGTTGTTTCTGTGGACTTTATTAAAGTGTTTTTGGACTTGCATCTGCATCCTGCAATTGATTCCACACCACACCTACGCCCGGCCCTTGACAGAACTACACACCCATTCATGGAATCAGCAGGAGCAGCAGAAGCGACGAGTCATGGGAGGAGCGCGTCCGCGGACAGGATGACAGGATAGCCCAGATAACCAACGCATTACAAGGAGTAATGATACCCTGCATCGCCTGGAGACCCAGTTGGGCACCCACGCCTCCTCCCACAGTACCACCAGCACCGGTCAGTCCCTTTAGTCCACGCTCCGGAAACCCAGTGGGATTCGGCTCTCGCTCCGAGGGCGTATGATGGTACCGCTGCCGGGTGTCAAGGTTTCCTCCTACAAGTAGAACTCTACCTCGCCACCGTACACCCGGTGCCCTCGGGACACGAGAGCGTTTCCGCCCTCATCTCCTGTCTCACCGGCCAAGGCGTTGGAGTGGGCAAACGCCGAATGGAGGAGAATAGACCCGCGAACAATCACCTATGCGGAGTTCTCCCGTCGCTTCAGGGCTGTATTCGACCATCCACCTGAGGGGAAGGGGGCGGGAAAACGTCTTTTCTACCTCCGACAGGGAAGAGGAGGCCAGGTTTTTGCAGGAGTTCCGGACTTGGGGCAGACGCGGGGTTTGGAAGAGGGGCCCCTCAAAACCATTTCCGTGCAGCCTAGGGGGGAAAACGCCGTCGTGATTTGGCCGCAGGGACCCACCCTCCTTTTGACCAGTTTTTGACATGGCCATTCGCCTCGACACCCGTTGGCCCCCCGCGGACTCCTGAGGGGGGTGTCCATTCCACCCCTCCAGCACCTCCAACTAGTCCTTGGGCTCGTTCTGCGTAGGGGGGAAAAGCCCCAAAAACCCCTTACCTATTTGGGGGCCTTTAACCCCGGGGGCCCCATCTTTTTTCTCCCCCCGGCCCCCTCGGGGGTCCCCTCCATGGACCCCCCCTTACCCGATCTCTGTTGATCACCTAACCTCCTGTTTTTCCCACGGGTTGCACCTATTCCAGAAAGGGAGGTTTCGGGGCCCCGCGGGGAAATTTTTATAATCGCGATTTTGTGTGAGTTAGGGTTTCCCCCTCTTCCAGTCAGCGTCCTTCCTGAAACATGCTTTAGATAGCCGTCCGTTGGGATGGGGGTTGTTAGGGAGGTCACAGCCCCACTTAGGGGGGGGCCAGGAGGGTCAGGGGAGACTATTAGCTTAATCTTATAGACTCTCCTGCGTATCCGGTGGTGCTGGGGCTTCCTTTTTATTATCAAAATCCCTCTATTTCGGGAAAAGAGGGTCTCAAGGATGGTCTGTCCAGTGGTAGGGGATGTCGGGCTTTTCCCGTGGGGGCGCCCTGGTGGAAAGCCAAACCTACTGCCGGCTTTGAAATTCCCCCGATATGGATTGAAATTTGTGTTTAGAAAGCGAAGGCACGAAATTGCCACCAATAAAAGGGGGGATGTGGATGACCTGGTAGGAGTGCGTTTTCCGCGGAGCCATGTGTATCCTCTTCTCAGAGGAAAAGAGAGCATGGGACTTACATACCAGTCTGAGACAGGGATCTACCCCCTCCACTTCCCCTGGTCCTCGATTTTCTTTTTTGGAAGAAAAAGGAGGGAGGTTTGGGCCCCGTGTTTTGATTACCGCAGTCTAAAATCAATTACGTGAAAACATTATCCATCCCTTGATTGCGACTATGGGGGAGTTTTACAGGGGGCCTTCACACGGGGCGCTTCACAAAATTGGCCCCAGGAGCGCTCAACTTGGTGTTTATTAGGGAGGGGGGGGAAAATGGAAGACAGCATTTAGTACCACCTGGGTCATTCGGTATCTCGTCTCCATAGGGTTAATGAATCCCTTCAGTTTCCAACCCTTTGTTGAGAGATCTTCCGGGTTTGCAGGGGCAGGGAGTGGTCTTTTACTTGACAATTTCTAGTGTTCTTCTACCCGACCCGAGCAGTACCCCTGGTGCGCCGAGTATTGAGGAATTTTTGGGAGATGATTTATTCGGCAGAGAAATGTTGTTTTTCGGAGTCTGTCCCCTTTTTGGGTTACATTGTTGCGCAGGGGGTTTAAAATGGGGGTTGACCGGTGCGGCCGGCTAATTTGGAAACTCCAATACTTTAAAAGGTGCAGCGGTTTTTTGGTTTTTCGAAACTACAGGAGGGTTTTTACGGGGTTTTGGACAGGGGGCAGTTTCCCCAAATCTTATAAAAGGGGGTCCGGTTCGCTTTCAGGGTTCTGAGGCGGTAGGGCTTTTTGGGGGACTGAAGGACCGTTTTCCCCCGGGGCCGGTGTTGGGGCTCCGATCCCGCACTCCCATTCCAGTGAGGTAACGCTTTTGAAGCCGGGAAGGGGGCCGGTGCTCTCGCAACGAATCTGGCACGCCCTGAAACTCCGCCCCTGTGCTTTTACTCTAAAAAGCTCAGTCCGGCGGAGCGAAATTATGACGTGGGGGGACAGGGAGCTGCTAGCTGTGGTCCAGGCCCTAAAGGTTGTGGAGGCATTGGCTAGAGGGGGGCTCAACACCCCTTTCCTCATTTTGACAGACCACCGAAACCTGGAGTACATCCGGGCAGCTAGGAGACTGAACCCTCGCCAGGCTAGGTGGAATATGTTTCTGGCCCGGTTCGTTTTTTAAGATCACGTAACATCCCTGGGTCCCAGAATGGTAAGGCAGATGCTCTGTCCCGGGCGGTATGACACGGAGGAGAGGTCCGTTGAGCCCCACGCCCATACTCCCGCCGTCTTGCCTGGTGGCACCGGTGGTGTGGGAGGTCGATTCCGAAATCGAGCGGGCGTTGCGTACCGATCCTAGCCCTCCACAGTGTCCTGTGGGTCGGACGTACGTGCCGTTCGAGGTTCGGGATCGACTTTATATATGGGCTCACACGTCACCCTCCTCTGGACATCCAGGGATTGGCCGGCGGTTGCACTGCCTTAGCACTAAGTACTGGTGGCCAACGTTAGCCAGGGATGTGAGGGTTTATGTTTCCTCCTGTTCGGTATGTGCCCAGTGTAAGGCACCCAGACATTTGCCCAGGGGTAAGTTACAACCCCTGCCCGTTCCACAACGACCCTGGTCTCACCTCTCGGTGGATTTAGTTACTGATCTTCCCCTCTCCCAGGGAAATACCACCATCCTGGTCGTTGTGGATCGGTTTCCGAAGGCCTGTCGTCTCCTTCCCATGCCGGGTCTTCCCACTGCCCTACAGACCGCTGAGGCACTATTCACTCACGTCTTCCGGCATTACGGGGTACCCGAGGATATAGTGTCTGATCGAGGCCCCCAATTTACCTCTCGAGTCTGGAGAGCGTTCATGGAGCGCTTGGGGGGTCTCGGTGAGCCTTACCTCTGGGTACCACCCGGAGAGCAATGGGCAGGTTGAACGAGTAAACCCAGGATGTGGGTAGGTTTCTGAGGTCGTATTGCCAGGGCCGGCCGGAGGAGTGGGCGAGATATGTTCCCTGGGCCGAGATGGCACAGAACTCTCTCCGCCACTCCTCCACTAAACTAACCCCTTTCCAGTGTGTGTTAGGGTACCAGCCGGTTCTGGCACCTTGGCATGAGAGCCAGATCGAGGCCCCTGCGGTGGATGAGTGGGTGCGGCGCTCGGAGGAGACGTGGAACGCTGCTCACGTACATCTGCAGCGGGCCATCCGTCGACACAAGGCGAGCGCCGATCTCCACCGTAGTGAGGGACCGGTGTACGCACCGGGAGATCGAGTCTGGCTCTCGACCAGAAACCTGCCCCTCCGCCTGCCCTGCCGGAAGCTGGGTCGGCGGTTTGTGGGGCCTTTTAAAGTCCTGAGGAGGTTGAACGAGGGTGTGTAACAGATTACAACTTCCTATTGAGTATAAAAATATTAACCCCTCGTTCCATGTGTCTCTCCTCAGGCCGGTGGTAGCTGGTCCACTCCAGGAGTGTGAGATAGCAGAGACTCCTCCGCCCCCGCTGGACATCGAGGGGGGCTCCGGCGTACACAGTTCGGTCCATCCTGGATTCGAGACGCCGGATGGGGGGGTCTCCAATATCTCGTGGAGTGGGAGGGGTACGGTCCGGAGGAGCGGTGCTGGGTGCCGAGGAGAGATATCTTAGACCCGTCTCTTCTGACTGAGTTCCATCGTGGTCATCCCACGCGCCCTGCTCCTGGTCGTCCCCGAGGCCGGGGTCGGCGCACGGCTGGAGCCGCGCGTCAAGGGGGGGGTACTGTCACGGTTTCGGCCGAGGCTGCTCCTTCTCCTTGTTCGGGCAGGCTTCGGCGGTCGTCGTCCCCGGAGAGTACTATAGCTGCCACCGTTCGTTGTGTCTGTGTGGTTTGGTTTGGTCTGATTTGTTACACCTGTTGCTCATTTCGTCTTGATTATGTGTCCTTTAAGTTCTCGTTGTTTCTGTCTTGTGGTTGTGTGTAGTTGTTCTATGTCAGCAGGTGTTGCCAGTCAGTTTGTGCTCTATGTTATTAGAGAGTCCGCACGTTGTGCGTTTGTTGTACTTTTACGCTGAGTGCGTTTATTTTTTCCCTTGTTCAACCGGCTCTGTTTATAGCCGTTGTTTCTGTGGACTTTATTAAAGTGTTTTGGACTTGCATCTGCATCCTGCAATTGATTCCACACCACACCTACGCCCGGCCTTGACACCACCCCCGAATCCCCACTATCCTCAATCCACTACTATGGTCTTTGTAGTCTGAGCCAGACCCACATCTGCCCTGAACATATGCCCCATTCTAATGAGAAACAGGTGTATTGTGACCCAAAATACTGTAGCCTCAGCTCCCAAAGCCCAATTTAACACCAATTTATCGCCTAAAAACTCCAACTCAATTCCATTTCAATAACTAACAGAGAAATGTTGGTTTACCTCCATCTAATTACAAAATGTGGGACAATTTCTCAATGTGTATGCTACATGCTTTCCTATTTCAATAAGACAAAATATTTTTCCTCCTGTTGTTTTGACATGCCAAGTGATTTCCTCAGCTGTACACACATTTTTACCAGGTGCCTGTCTGGATATAAAAGTATGAACAGTCCTCAAGGTATAACAGTCCCACCTTTCCGTCACACCTGGGATGGAAATATACATTTCTCAGGTCACCAGGGGTATATTCAGTGAGATTAAGCATTTAGAACACTGCACATAAATATGTAATGAATAGAGCTGACAACATTTAGTATTCTACATGACAGACCATAGACTGTGACAGACAGACAATCATATATGTTCTACAACCTTCTGTAACATTGCTGTCTGAACCTTCTGTAACATTGCACTCTTTTGAACAGGTGCCAGCCTCCTAATGTAATGAGGAGAAAGGTTATACTCACCATGGCCAGGTCAGGATGAAAGGTCAGGACCAGCAGGCAGAGCAGGTTCATAGTCAGGTGCATCATGGTCAAGATGGCAAGCTGACCGCAGAGGAGTTTCAAACAGATAAATTCATCTGTTATACCACTTGTATATCAAATGAATTAAATAAAACATTCAAACAATTTCCTTTTATATGGTTTTTATGCATACACTGTAAAACAACCCAAGTTACTGAGGAGTGAAAGACAAATACAACTTTCAGATTGTCAATTTATCCACATATGCTTGGATAACAGACACATATTTCCTAATTTTCTCCTTCCTTAATGCAGATTATTTATTGTAATTTCCCTCCATTATTTACCAGTAATTCCAATAATATAGAATAAAACAATGAGGCTCAGTCAGAAGAAAGCAATAATTTCCCATTACTGTACTGTAGGAGCCAGATTGAGTTACATGGAGAGGAAATTAGACATCAATAGAGGAAGTCATTATATGGAACAAGTCTTTTTCCTCCACTGCTTCAAAAATCTTACCAGAGTTTCACTTGCTTCTGTATTCCGTTGCTATTCCCCTTGTTCTTCTGCGTCTTGCCAGCTGCATAGCTTTTCCTCTCCTTTTCACCCACTCTTTGAAGGTATCTGTTTGTATGGTCCAATTCTGCTCCCATACATTCTCCCTCCTTTTATTTGATTGTCTATTTTTACATTCTCAACGTATCTGCTCCTCCTCTCCCCTCCTTCCTGCCTCCTCCTCTTACTGAAATGTTCCCTCCCTTCAGTTCACATTATCCCCCTGTTGAGAGGCCACATCAGCAGACCAAAATACTCAGAGCAAAAAAACT